CACACACACACACACACACACACACACACACACACACACACACACACACACACACACACACACACCACACACACACACACACACACACACAGTAGTGTAGAAGCTATTTGAGGTTGGCAAAGATTTGTTTTAATATAGAACACTATAATATTGTGGTTGTTCTAATGAGTCAAAAAAAATAAGACTGTAGTGATTTTATTAGTGATTTAACTACAACCACTTGGGAAATACAGTTCTATGCCTCTGCACTCATCACGGGCGTAGCAGTCATGGTAATTTGGGGCTTTTTATGATTTCTCTGAACTGGACTGGAATGATTTACATCCTTAATGACATTAAAAACAATCATTTGGTGCACAGCTTTGAATCAATTTAGGATTTTCTCTAAACCACACAGGGTCATAATTCTACGTACAGGTTCAAATATATACGTACACTCACTTAAATCTTCTATTAAGGTGCTGAAGGTGAGATGAGAAACCACTTTGTCGAGGTCTGGAAGAAAGAAACCCCAAACTGTCACCCTTAGATGAGAGTACCATCTACTTAGTGGTACTGGTACATTGCACAAAGTGGGTGGAGTAATGAAGAAGTATTTCTACCTCTAAATTCTTCAACTTTAGGTCAGTTCAACAGGTAGTTGGACACAACAGAGAGTATCAGCAGGACAATGATCCCAAACAACCATGGAAACTAGTTTTGGAATGAATGAAGCAGGCGAACACTAAGCTTCTAGAAAGTCCTTGACAAACCCCAAAACTGTGGACTTTCCATAAGAACTTTGTCCATGCCAGAAAACAAACGGATTTAAATGAACTCTACCAATTCTGCCAAGAAGAGTGATTAAAAATATCCAATTGGAAGCTTGTTGATGTCTACCAAAAACATCTGGCCGAGGTGCAACTTGCTAAAATACATTTAATCATATATTAGTGTGATGTGTGTATGTATTTGAGCCTGTAGGTACACTTTATCCCTTTGTTGGTTAGACAAAATCCCAATAGGCTTCAAACTTGGGCATCCAATTTGGGGTTTTTTTTAATCATTTAAGATATATTCAGTATAATCATTCCACCCTGGAAGCTGAACAGTTCTAAGAAATCATTAAAAGCCCCAAATTACCATGACATTCATTCCTGTAATGAGCTTAAACTTCTGACCACAACTGTGTGAGTTTGGGTGTAGCATTCATCCATCCCATCAGCATAAACGCAACATCTTAGGGATACTTCCTTTTATAACTTTGTGGTCAACTCTGAAGTCTCTTTGCCTGGCCAGAACTCGAGAGTTTATGCACTAATTAGGCAAAACATTGCAATAAATTTCAGAATAAATGTTCAATTTGTAACCTTTTATATTTAACAAGTCAATGGTGAAATTTGGTGCCATAACTCAGGAACTGGTGAGCATGGGTGGTGCTTTGGTGGTTCTGTCAATCTGCCAGGCTAAAAATGTGCTTGAAGCATTCATGTTTTAACATTTTTGCTTCTCTGTAGCAACAGCCATGACTGCTGTCATGGTTACAGCTCTGTACTCTGTCAGAATCTTTAAACATAATTACATTTATTATGTTGTACTACAAATGCTTGGATGTGAATGTGTTCACAGCCAGACAACAACATCGTTGTAATTCTAGGTATATCTAGGAATATCTTAAACTCTAATTAGAGTTTACCTAGCTTAACATTACATTATTCTCTCTAGAGAAAAACATGTCAGAATAACATGCTGTGAAAACATGTTGCTTATCCCGGGGACAGTAGCAATTGTGAATGTTGCTGTTGCAGTTTGACTAGTACCTCCCTTTGACCAGAGCAGACAGGTGATTACTGGTGTGTCACAGCCTGTACTTCAGGCTCTCTGTAGTGAGTGGGTCTTCTCCCCTCAGCCCTATGCTTTGTCAAGCTCTTCACACTAACTGGATGAATATCAGCCTCCTAATGACATCTGTGAGAGTGGGATCTGTTTCCTGGCTCAGAGTACTCATCCGTCTGTTTCTGTGCAGAGATGTGTTCAATCCCCAAACACCACAAACCTGAAAATATAAGCACCAACCGGAAAACACGGCAAGTATGAGGGTCTGACAGCTGACTGCCTGTGCCATGCATCATGCTGATGAAAGATACGGCACACGGATGAGGATAAGCATGCGGAGGAAGTCTTCCTCTGCATGCTTCGTTCTTCTGTTTTGGGGTTAAAGTGTGCCTCTTTTTTAGATTACCAGTATTAGTCAAAGGGAACGGATTCATACCTACATGAGGTACGAGGGTTGGATGGCATCCAAGTTGAGTTGTTTTTTGATCCACCCAGCCTGAGTAGCGACAGATAAAATTTAAAAAAAAGTGTGTTTTGTGTATCGTTTTGCATATTGCGGAGGAGCATGCAAGTCTTTTATGTTAGATGAAAACCCTTGGAAAGACATTTTCTCAGCTTCACCTATAACTCACAGTAATCCCTCCCTTTTTTTTCTAAAATCAGCGGCATCTTCACAGCCAAATGCTCATTGATGTGTTGTTTTTGCATTTCACTTGCCAGAAATCACTTGTCTGTCAAACAATGTGACCAGTGTGTATTTTCCATTAATGAAGTTTTTTGCTGTTTTCTTTCCGCTCCATTCGTTTCTGTTTGCTGTTGCTGCTGATTTCTCTTGGGAAAGACCTCCAAGGCCTCAGTGTTTAGAGCAGGAAATCATAAAGCCTTCATCAACAGGCTATACACTAGGTTGAGTCACTGCTGTTGAGTAGCATCTATAATTGTTCGTACCAAATGTGACAGGTTACTGCGTGTATTCGTGAGGAATACCGTCAAAGAAAATTTTAATTATTTGCCTTTTTTACTTTCATCTCTCTCCTTGTTTTTCTTCACTTTTTCAGGTGTTGTCTCCTTTATCAGACTCAATCCTGGCAGAGAAGACTATCACAGTGGTGGATGACAAAGTGACCATCACAGAGTTGGGAGTCCAGTTGGTGACAGGCCTTTCCATGAGCCTGCAGCTCAGTCCGGGAAGTAACCGGGCCATCCTGGCTACTACAACCACACAGGAAGTCTTGCAGAGCTCCAAACAGGTCAGGATGCTTTAAGAAATTAAAAACCACAAAACTACATTAAATATGCGTAAGGGTTAGTGGCTCACAAGTTTGAAAACATATTGTCTAATTGAATGAGCAAATTCATCTAAATTTATACAATCACCTGCCATTTTATTAGGTATATCTTGTTAATACTGGGCTGGACCTCCTTTTTGCCTTTGGAACTGCACAATTTTTCATGGCATGAATTCAGTAAGGTGCTAGGAAACATTCCTCTGAGATTGTGGTCCATATTAACATGACAGCATCACACAGTCGCTGCAGATTTGTCAGCTGCACATCCTTGATCCAAATCTGCCGTTCCACCAAATCCCAAAAAAGCTCTCTTAGATTGAGATCTGGAGACTGTGAAGAGCATGAGAGTACAGTGAACTCGCCGTCATGTTCAAGAACCAGTTTGGATTTATTTGACTTTTGGTGTGTTATTCTGAGGGAAGCAGCCAGATGGACACGTTGTGGTCATAAATGGACATGGTCAGCAGCAATACTCAAGTAGGCTGCTGTGTTTAAGTGATGCTCAGTTGGTACTAAGGAGCCCAAAATGTGCCCAGAAAATATCCCCCATTCGAATATAACACCGGCAGGCTGAATTGTTAACAAAAGGCATGATGGATTAATTCGCTCATATTGTTTATTCAAATTCTGACACTAACAGCAGAAATTGAGACTCATCAGTACAGGCAACATTTTTTCCACTTTTGGCAAGCCAGAGTGAATTATGTGAAAAATGTTCAGATGGCTCTACAGGGAAAGGAGAAAAAACAGACAAGTGCTTCAAAGATTGTGGTTGGGGTGGGGTTATCCTAATGTTGTGGTTTTTAAGGTAGTCGACCAGTGTAGTTTCTCATGATTTGGTTTTTTTTTGTTTTGTTTTCTAAGAAAATAATTAGGCAAATTTACCAATTGGGTTCTTCTTCAAGCATCTCTCATGTGCGGTGAATTAGAGATCCAAGAAGACTGTTTCAGTAGCTTAACCTGAGTTAAGTTTCTGAGTTTCTGTGGCAGCTCAGACAGTGTGAAATAGATTGCATAATGTCAACAGGTATGGAAAGAGTCCAGTTTAAAAATCATTGTTCCTTGGCACAAAATATTATATGCAGTTACAATTATATTCATTTAAACTGTTTAAATACCCTACTATTCAACTTAGACGTAATGTAGTTACTGGAAGTGATTCAGTTTTGACACTTACAGTGCCTTTGTTGCATACAGAAAGTGGAGGTGTTTTAATAAGATAAAAAGTAAAACCAACAAATAATCGTTAATCAACTGTGATTTTCTATTAATCATGTTATCAGTTATCCATCAAAATCAAATATTTGATAGTCGATGCTCCTCAAATCTAATTTTCTTTGTCATACCTAATATCTTATTATCATCTTTCCATTTCCTTAAGCTGCAGAAAATTATAGTCAACACTTTCATGTGTTTTAATAGATAAAATGATTAATGGATAAAATGAGTGGATAATTAGCAGGTTAGCAGAAAAAGAAGATAATAATTTGGTGCAGACACACGTATAAGAGACTTCTATGTGATTTTACTTAACAGCTCATTTCTCCTCAGAGCCTCCTTTACAAAAGTGAGCGCTGATTCTTCTCTACTAGATGAAAATTATTCACAGACCATTTAGACAGATCTGATTAAGGCAGATAATTATGTTCATTTGTTTTACATTGGCAATTATTATCACCTAGAATATTAAATCACTCTTAATTAGATGAAATAATTTTTTTATATAAATATCAGCTGAAGCCAAAAGTGCTCAATCGCCAACTCAAATACTTTTAGGGTCTCTATAAAGTTATTTTTTGTTTGCATTACACTATCCCTAACTGTCTAAATGTGCAAAAGAAAAAGAAAATAAGTGTGAGATTATAAAAAGTTATCTACATGAGGAGCGCTGCTTTGAGACAAGCTGGATGTCTTAGGACAGCAGCCCCAACCTTTTTTGGGCCACGGACCGGTTTATGTCCAACAATATTTTCACAGAACGGCCTTGTGTCGTGGATAAATAAACCAAAAAAAAAAAACACTACCCGTACCAAAAAAACAGAAGATTTATTCTTAACACAAGAGAAAAGACCCTGGGAAACCAAGTTAATGATCAAAACAATTAAAAAATAACAATAAAAACCTATAAAACCCCTGAAAACCATACATTTCACACCCGAGCCTCAACTCTCGCGGCCTGGTACCAAACGACTTGGCCGTGAGAGTTGGGGACCGCTGTTTTAGGATTATCAGAAACTTCAGCAGAGTCTTATTGTCATGGCTTCCAAAGCTTGTGAGCATAGTGCAGCCTGAGGGCTGGCAGTCCATTGGCATAGCCTCTCTTAACATTTAAGCTGGTGGGCAAGCCCATAGCTTCAGCCTGGCAGCTTGATTCTTTAATGAATAGCAAAAACAATACAAAAATAGAAAAATGCTAAGCTTTTTCATTTACTTCTATTTGTAGTTCCTCTTTTTTAATTAATTTTGTTATATTATTTACTTTCCTGAATAGATGTACAAGACATAGAAGAAAAAACTTCTATGTCTTGGCTAGTCTGTTCTTTTTACGGCACTCATATATTAACTCAAAGGTTTGAAAGCATGTAACGCAGCGCTTCTCTTTGGTTATCTAATGGAAACAGAAGTTTAATTTCAGAGCAAGCTCAAGCAACACCACAGTACTGTACAAAATTTCGACTTAAAATCTAAACTTTGCAATTCTGTCATGTTTGCTTTTCTTTATAATTTGCTGCAGCTACTCTCGCTGTGGCTTCTTTGATCAAGCTCTCCAGTGAGCTCTCCGAGCTGCCCCGAACTATTCCACTTCACCCTTTTTTCTGACTGAGGGCATGAAGGCTATTTATCAGCTCTATCTTCTTACATAGAGTGTGGGGATAAGCAGACAGCACTGCGCTTGCAAGACCTCTGGTGTTACTAATATAAGGAGCATTGACAGACCACTGTGGGAATCTATGTACTTGTGCGCCTTTGGGGATTTGTCTCTTGGTGATATTAAAATGCAAATTGTGAAACTGCAGTAGTAGGCGGCTTCACGACACCCATGTATGGCGAAGCCTCAGTGGCATGAACAATATTTAAAGTAACTGTTTGATCTTTTCTGCCCCTTGGCTGAGAGAAAATAGCTGCTGAGGTAGCTTAACCACAACTTAGTGAGCTTGACTAAAGGAACACTGAATCCAAATAATCATTATGCAGCTCATTTGAACAATTCACTATACTCCCATAAGTTAAAGCCGGCGGAACAAGCAAGGGGAGTTTCAGAGCTAACCTGTTGAAAATGATCCGTTTCCATGAAATTATGCTCTATGCAGTATTTTTACAGCATCATTTCAATCCTTTGTAATGTCTGACAATCCTGCCTCTCTCTCTCTACCTCTTTTATAGGAGGCCTTGATTAGTGCCTGGCTACAGTTCAGTGACGGCTCTGTGGCTCCACTAGACCTCTACAATCCGGACTTTTTTGTCCTGACAGCCACTTCACTAGACGAGGAAGTCGTGACAGTGCAGCAGGACCCTTCCTGGAAATGGCCTGTCATTGTGACGGAGGCAGAGGGTCAAGGCCTGCTGGTCAGGATGGAAATGACTGTTAGTGAAGTGTGCCAGAAGTTCAAGCGACGCAGCATTATAGCGGCGGGGAACTGCAACATCAGGGTGAAGTTTGGCCATAGTGACAGCTCAAGGGGAGGGAGCAGCGACTATGGTCCTGATGGAGATGATATGGAGAACAGGGGCAGGCTCTCCTCCCAGGACAGGACCGGCCTTGACACACACTATTACGGTAGTTCGATCTCTGACATGGAGGATGGCGTGCTGAAGAGAGCCACCACAACGAGAAGCGCAATAATCCGCAGACCCAATGGGGATAAGCTTTCAGTGGATGGTAGCCAGAGCATACCAATTGACTTTGCTGACTTCCCCGCACAAGTAGATCTACCCCGTGGTCGCAATGTGGACGACGAACTCATTCAGACTGCCCGAGGGCTCACAGACCTAGAAATTGGCATGTACGCCTTGCTCGGGGTCTTCTGCCTCGCCATCCTAGTCTTTCTTATTAACTGCATTTCCTATACGCTCAAATACCGTCACAAGGAGCTCTCCATCGAGGGCCAGGAAAACATGAACCATGCTCACGACTGGGTGTGGCTGGGGAATGAGGCCGAGCTGCTGGAGAGCCAAATCAGCCTTTCGCCTCAGCAGGAAGAACAGACCTCCATGATAGACTCAAGCAGCGGCCTTGAGGAGGGCAGCCACTTACTGAACGGAGGCTCTTCCCAGAAGAGCGTGCCGAGCCTAGTGCATCGGGCGGCGGACACAGGCTGCATAGCCAAGGACAGCAAAGGAGACTCCCCCACCACCAAGAGAAAGCGAGTTAAGTTTACCACGTTCACCACTATCCCCTCGGACAATAGCTACCCCACTGTTAGCACACTGACTGGAAGCCACAGCCATGACATTAAGTGGGTGTGTCAAGACGTGCAGCTTGGAGACTCCAAGGAGTTGCGCAGTTACATGGAAAGGTTAAATGACAGTGCTTTAAAAGAGGTGGCATAATGTACTGTGTGCACTTGTGACAAACTCACCCATATGCCTTCCAGCCAGCGGAGAGTGGGTCTCAACAGAAACCAGATCCACAGTTGGTGATCGAGGAGTAAATTTACTTCAGAATCAACCCAAACTGCCAAAGGGTCATTAAACTTTGCGAGAAATGTCATGATTCCACATATGACTGATGATAAATCACTGACAAAAAACATGAGGTGGTTCTTTTGTTTGTCAGATGGTTGCCACTTAAACATTGTTTTATTATTACACGATTTAGAATCGTGCAAGGATCCCAGAACTGATCTGCAGCAAAGCATATAGAGTTTAAAACGAACAGTGACGTGACTAGATAGATATTCCGAGTGTGTGTGTGTGCACATTAAATGGCTTTGGAAGTTCTGTATCAATTTTGGATTTCTTACATGAGAGTTCTGGAAAGGCCAAAGCAAGTCAAGACAAATGTGCATGTTGTTCGGGGGGGAAAAGAAAAGAAAAACAAGAATGGCACAACTTTCCAGTTCATTGTCATCCTCCTTAGCAAGGCATACGACCTGTTATGTATATACTGAACAATCTCCAAAGCATTGTACTGTTGCTCTGTATATTGTATTTTCATAACATTTAAGGAATACACAGTAATGTCAAGAGTGTGCATCAGCTTTTATTGACTGCAGCATTGTGAGGCATTGAGTCTTTAGATTGGAGAAGGTGAAGCCAATTACACACTGATCTTTGTATCAAAGACTATTTATAAGATGTAATTTACCTACAAGCAACAACACAATCTAATCTCGTTTAATGCTGGCCATGAAGAAAAGCATCAATACTCTCATCTTGTCCATTACAATCCAGTACCCTGACACCACAGCCAGTATATGTGAAGGAGCTTTTAAACCAAATGGCTGACCATCATGATAATGTGACATTTCCCAATACCGCCCTCTCAGTTAAAAGTTTTTCAAGGTTTGAAGAAAATACCAATTAACACCTCTGTCCCATAATTACACGCAAGGTAGGAAATATTACCTTTTTTTGGAAGTGGATCTTTTATTATTCAGATAATTGCACAAATAATAATCTTCTCTGAAAACTTCCTAAACAAGGGCAGTCGGCTGAAAAATTGCATTTTGCTCAGTGAACGTTATTATCATCACAGTGGTGTTGGGGAATTGTGTGTGCGTAAGTGTGTTATTATTTTCCATCAAGCAGAGAAATGTTCACATTATGTTAACTGTTGCCGCAGTATGAATCAGGTTGTTAATCAGGGGCATTGTCAATATTATTCGTTTCAGCAAATAGTGGCGCTACCTTGAGTAGAATTGGGGATGTCGTATAGAATAGCTTACTTCTGTCAGCATTCGGCACTAAATGGAGCCCCACCAGATACCTACACAGAGGTTTAGCAGCTTTTCTGGCTATTTTTCTGCCTATTTCCCTTATCGTGTGTCAGCTGAGAAGGTTTATACCATTTTCATGTCCGCACATTAGTTTAAACATCACACTACAGAGGCCCCAGTCACAGAAGACCCCCAAGCAATCTTTAGTTGCTAAGGGAAATGTGTTTCCCCCAACTGGTTGGCCAGTCATTGCTGACTGTTGGACCGAAAACCTATTCATGATTACTTTGGTCGCTAGCAAATTGCCCCAATCAACTGTAGTTTGCACGGAAGACACCAGTTTGTCTGTAAAGACTTGCTAACTTCTACAGGAGCGGTATTAGACTTAGGTTGTGCCTGCTGCATCTGACACATTTCAAAAGGTCAAATTTTTACTTTGAAGACTAACACTCTCTGTTTCACTACCATTTAGCGAGTAGTTGGTGAGCGTTAGCAGACAAGTTAGCCTCTTTCATGCAAACTATAAGCAATAGTAGCAATCTGCTAGCAAAAAAGTTTTTGTTGCGGCTAACTGGCAGTAAATGCTACTACAAAAACATACAGGTAACATAATTTTCTTAGCTAACCCATATCAATGAAGAATATGTAATAATATGCGTTATTTTTTAAATGTATAACTAATGTTTTCTGGTGTTGCAGTGTTTTAAGTGCTGATATTTCTAAACTGGGGTAATTCAAGTAGAAAAAAATTAAGACATCTAAGAGCAATGTAACACGCACACACACCGTGATACACACAAACAATTATGTTCTGTCACCATGTCGTGATCCGCTTCATTTTGTGGGGTTTTCCCGCTTCTGTGGCTTTAGCGTTATCTCCAGGGGACTGAAGCGGGGGTCACAGCTGCTGCGCTCAGTCGGTGGACCGTGAAGGGCGAGGAATGCCTGTGTAGATATGGGAGGGATTTAACTGCCAGCCACAAGGGTAATGATTGATGGAGGGCCCCGGTTAATTAAAACACCACTGCAACTCTCTTTCTGCAACCACTGTTGGTGGCTTTAGCCTCTTCAAGTAAAAGCAATACAACCCATTAAAGGCACACCACAGTCACCCCCTTGGGCTCCAGTTGTGGATGTGCTCATACCTGCTGGGATGTAGCACACGAAATATAATGGCTGTATTCACTTCGGTTCATGGAGCATGTTAACTCAAGTCTCATTTTTGTTGGCCTTGAAGTCTTGACTTCATGAAAAGGGAAAGGAGAAAAAAAAAGCTTCCCCAGGCCTCCATCTTAAATGGATTTTTAATTAAATTGATGATGTGAGACCAACAAACTCTCACTAATGGTTGGCTGTGCTCCCTGTGGTCCTAATGTGCCGAGCCCGTATTTGCAATTTCCAAATGATTATTCGCTGTTTGATTTATGTTGCTTCATCTGAATTCATTTTACCGTCAGTTCACAGCAGGTTCACGACAGCTAAATGTACACAACCACCCCGCTGGAGAGGAGCGAAGAAACAGCCGACGAGGTCGGCTTGACATTCCGGTCCGACCGATTCTTACAGATGGAGTCGCAGGGAACTAGAGGCAACATTGTTTACAACGCCCCTGTGCCAAATCTGTCTCCTGTAAACACAATCTCCCACCTGACCAGCAGACCACATTGGGAAGATAAACACCACAGCACACATGAACAAATGTTCCCTTGTCTTACCATCTTTGTAAGGTCTCTCAGGCAAAGTCCCTACCCACAAGATGTAAAGCTCTAAAAGAAAAAAAAAAGGTCACAAATATGTTTTTTCCAAATAAAAGTAAGTAAATTGTACTGATTCAACTGCACACTTAGTAAACGAATGAGTGAGTACATCATGAAATAATTTGTGTCGGAGTGCTTCAAAACAACCAAGAGTGCGCGTGTTTCTTATAATGAAGACATCACCCAGTGCAGCAGCGCGTGTTTATCCTTTTGGACAAAAGAGGGTCTCTGTGGCACAGAAAAAATGTGCTAGTGTGTTAGGTTGTGGAGATTATTCATTTGTAGTCAGTTAATTAGTTTTTGTCTTTTTTATGGGATTTCTTGAAAGTAAGAAATAAACAACCCTGTGCAGGTATTTTTGGCCTCCAGAACAAACAAAGTAATCTCAGCACAAGCTCACAGGTACAGAGTATCAGCGATAACTCAGAACTCCAGCAGCTATAAACAACTACAGTAGCTGGCGAAAGGCTCAGCAGCATGACTCGAGCACCCAGCCATGTCATTTAGATGTATTGGCCCACTAGTAAGGGCAACATGCACAGGGGAGCGACATATCAGGCAGTGCTCTCAGGCAGGCTGAGGAATTTTTCTTCCTGCTGAAGAACAACAGAAGGTCAGAGGGCTACCAAGATACACCTGGCACAAATGGTACTCCTCAGACTGGCTAAAAAGATTTATCTTGATACCTGTACTGTTTTATGGGAGTCAAGTCCCATTCTGCACAAATAGGATACTCTAAACCACGGGGCATGCACATAATAACTAAGGCTGATGCCGTAAATCCAGATGGATGTACGCTGTTAAAGCGTTTTTACGGTTGCTTATTTCACACATCATCTGTCTGAATGAACATCCTCACCTGCCGCCTCGCTCGGTCCTACAGAAATCAGTCTTACAAGCGACAAGACAAGCACATTTTCTGGAACAAGAGATTGGGAGAGGTTATGTTATCCTCAGCACGACTTCTTCGTTGGTGTGGCATTTCAGAAACATATCAGACACGAGTTTAACAACCCGCCCCTTGTCCCACTTAGATTCCCCGGACTCCAGGATGCCGCGTGATTAGTTCGAGGTAAATGCTGATGATGAGTACTTAGAGATGAGTGATTTGTCTGCTTGGCTGTTTTCTTAAACGTTGTGTGTGCATTAGCTTATCCTAATTAACATGCAGCGATACCTCCTAATCCTCCAATTACTGGAGCAACATCTTAGGGAGCATCTGACGGCCGCTCATTACACAGGTAAGACTCAGTAATACAATTAAAAGCAGCTTAACATTCTGTAGATTAGCCCGCCTCGCGCCCCTGAAAAATCATTGACATACAGCACGCACAGAGGTCTTAATTGAGAAGTATGGAGACGCACAGACCAGAATTCACAAATGAAAACTCTTTATGGGATTAAACTTTTTTTCATTTTGTTCGCAAGGAAATACTGTTTGATACATGTCTGCTTAGTACTAAAGATACTTGGAGTAATAGTGCCTCTAATTAAAACTTACAGTCATAATTTAATCTTCAGTTTCTGGAAGTCTTTCGTCTTTTACTTGATCTTTTATCACAACTGTGTCGCACAGACTGCAGACAGAACAGGGATTCAGCTACATCCATATTGTTTGTAAAGTCCTGTTTTAAAGCCTTCATTTTAGTGTCTTGGCCAACTGTTGCCAGCAAGCAGTTTTTTTGGGGCCACATATTATCATTTGGTGTTGTTGTAAGCTAGCGCTAACTTTTGTCCTTTAATTCAAAGGGGTGAGTTCAAAGGAAATCTAATCCCATGGAGCCGTCCTACAGGTGGAGAGAGATGGCAGAGATCAACACTCCACTTTGTCCCAGAACATATAGTAAAGTGAGGCATTGCATCACATCTCAAATCAGAACATTTTCTGGACAACCATCTCTAAGATACATAAACATTTTATGGTCCAAAGTTTGAACACTTATTATGGTTACTGTGAGATTTTAGCTTGAGATATAGAGTACTTTTCAAAATATATACATCTATTGAGCCACATTCAGACCATTTTTTGGGACATTGAAATCTGAAGCAAGGTTGGATCCTGAATATCTCATTAACTATTAAAGATGATGATACTGAATGAAAACGTGGATGAAAGAAAATGGATCAACGCATCATTTTCAAAAAACTGTATCTTGCAAAGTATTTAATATATGAAGCTAGAATTTCAAGGAATCATTATATATTTCCAAACTTTGTACCATGTATTTTTTATGCAAATCAGATCCAGTCGAGCAGAAGGCCCGCACTGATTTTAAATGGAATGACCCATATGGGAGTCTGACTCTAACATTTGGACCCAGTCTCAAGTGTACCCCAAAGGGTTTTGGCGCTTCTGTTTGGTAGTTTCAAAACCAAGACAGAGTTTAAAAAAAAGACTACACCTAGAACTAAGTACTCATCCAATCATGTAATACAGCAATGACTTGTGAGCAGGTAAAGTATTTTTGTATTAGCTGTATCTGATGTGAAACCATTGCAAGACTCTCACTTTAACATAATGATCGCTAAAGGCAGAAAACAAATGAAGTTTCCATTATAGACTGCATATAAAAGATGGTTGTAGCCAAGCTGCAATTTGTGACACCACCCCAGAGAAAAAAGAGAGGCCTTAAATATTTATTATGTTACTGCTGTGAATGTAATGTAATGTTAAGAAAATATTCTGAACTTGAACATATAACCAGAACATTTACAAGAATAGTGGTGGTTTTTTTGTTGTTGTTGTTGTTGTTTTTTAATGACTTGAATATGTTCAGTCTTCTTGGTCTAAAGTGATCCATCCACCTACTATCAGAGACAATACAAATGGTTTACGATGCCAGAATTAAATGCCCCTGCCCTTCCCAGCAACCTGGACATAGGCTCACTCTCGGTCCACTTATGAAGCCTCAATCTCAGCATTTTGGTCGTTGCCATTTTGATAGTTTGCAACCACAAGTGAGCAGCTGACTGAAAACAGAGACACTGAACGCTCACGTGACAGAAAATTGTCAGTCACAAAGAAGCATTTGATTTGCAGGAAGAACTACTGACTTAGGAATTGTATAAATGCTGGAGGCTATGAATTCAATGAAAGATAAAGAGCATTCAGAAGGTTCTCCGAGGAACTGTTGTTTACTCGCACCATCATCTTAAAATACGAGGAGGCCAGCGTCAAAACTACATCTATGTGTTTTTTTCCCCAGTTCTGCTTCCACAACCGCTATGATGTGTCAGAAATTCCTCTGTACATGTGAAACAAGCCACCACGCTAGAATTATGACCTCAAGGCATTGTGTTGGTTTTGAAACATCAAGCTGTCTGCTCAGTCACTGCTTCGTGGGCGCTCTGACCAAATTAAACAGGAAACGGCCCTCCCCGAGCCTCACGGCTGGCAGGCCTTACCATTAAAAACTGATCTGTGATGACGCTGATTTCAATGATGAAACTAAGAAGAAATATGGTGCTTCCACCGCCAACAGGAATGCAAAATGAGGCTTTACACCTCTGTGTTAGCAACCTTTTCCCCCTACAGGAAGCTACAGGGCGTGTTTTTTGTAATATAAATAATTCAGGCTTTCCACTTTGAGTTTGCCTTAGGACCAACAAACCATGACCCTAATCATGAAAGCAGGCTGTTAAAAGCACCATCCGTGATTCACATGTCAACAACGATGTCGCCATGCTGCCTGAATTTAAAACACAGGATTGAAACATGTCCTTCCTGTCTTATCAATAAAACATTTGTGTCTCGTGTAATAAACTTACAGATCTGGAAGTTGTGCAACAAAGCTGTGCTTGCATGAGTGGAAACTAACCAGTAGAGTGATGTGACAGACAACTTTGTTAGCTTCAAAAGTTCTTCTTTATTTAGGCACTGGCTGAAAATGACAAAGAAAAGTCACAAAATAATACACTGTATTAATGGGAACACATAACACTACAAAACATTATCACAGTTCTGTACCATACTGAAATGTAACAGGACTTTTTTTTTGATGTGACTGAGATGACAACATAATTACACATACAGTAAGCAATAGAACAAGAACACATAATTATCTGATCAAATAAACGCAAACAGAAAAAAATAATCACTTGAAGAGGTGTTTCATACTGTCAGTGAGATAGAATCTAGCTTTTTTTTCTTCTTTTAAATATACAACAACGCAAACGTAACTTCATTTAGTTCGGATCATAAATGACGACGACTGTTCTGAGCTCCCGAAGACAGGTTAACATTTCCAGGAGCTTTATGTCACATGACACGATTCCTAGAGAGCCCTGAGTTTTCTTCCTTCATGTGTTCGGCTTAATTCTGAGGATTGAAAACGCACAGACGATGGTGCACACACACACACTTAATAGTATAAAAGTAAAACAAATGAATCACAGTCTTATAAATATAACAAAACAAAACAGAATTTCTGGTAAAGCTGCAAAGCTGTGATAACACCGTAAACGTTTCTGACAGCAAATGATTCGAAATAATGTAAATAATGTCACAAATGTTATGAATTTCTCAGTACTGAGATGGCATCACTGTGAATGCGTTACATTTTTTAACTGTTATGCATCCATTTCACTGTGATCCGAGCATTAATGCCACAAGTCTAAATACAGATAGATTTTTTTGTTGGGTTCTGTTAATCTAACATTGAAGATATTCGATTTTGCAGCTTGACCAGAAATGTAAAACCGAAGCATCACAGGAGTTGTGGAGTATTTCTGACATGAGGAGGTATGTATGTATTTATGTATGTATGTATGTATGAGTCATGTAGAGTGCTATCTGAGCATTTACAGGGTAGATTAAAGTGGCTTTACAGTGACTGATCAAACAAAAAATGTGTTTGTTTGAAATCTTCTCCAACAATCGGCATCTTGAACAGCAATAATTTAAGAGACTGTTTCAAAATTACCATCAAAACCAATTCCCCTTTTGGTGCGATCTCTTCCAAGATACTGCGTGAGTGGGAATGAAATAGTGCTGATTCTCGAGAACATTTAATGCACGAATACCCGAGATTAAGGTTAAGGACCTAAATGATTTAAATACTGATGTGTCGTACCAGAATAAGTGAAATGAACTGTCTCTGTTAGATAACACAAACACAAATATCTGTAAAACAACTTTGAAAATATTCAAAGGGATCACATTTTATGGCACCGTTTCCTAAGTGCAAATGATCAAAGAAAGGCAACAGGGGCAGACACGCGCACAGAAGTAAGCAAGTACAGTATGAATAGTTAATCTCTGTACTGTAAGTGGTATTGCTGCAGTCACCCAGTGATTTCAAACCCATTACCAGGAAATCTGGAAATTACTGGATATCCAAAGCACTTTAAAACTAAATCTTACATAAAAAAGTGTGTAGTTATGACAGTTACAACTTCTTCGCTCAAACTGCTGTATTATAATTAATAAGGGGTTCTTAGAGCACTGAGTGATCTGACGAGGGGGTGACCTTAGTGGGCTGCAAGTTTATGAATGTGCAGCCGTGTTGGGTCAAGAGGAAGCGCGTCTCTGCTGCTGAAGCCCTGCTCTGGCTTTCTGCTTGTCGTACTTGACCGAGATAATAAGGAACACCAGCAATGTGACGCCCTGGATCCCCGCCAAGAGGAAGAAGTAGTAATGCAGAGAGCAGTCATTGATATTACCTGCAAGAGAACAAAATAAGGACATGTTATTAATAGAATATGTGAGAGTTTAGCTGAGAATGTGCACGATGAAACTGGCATTCATGTAACTCTTAAAAAGTTGGGAGCTGCATGAAGGGAAAAAAAAAAAGAAGACAAATATGGAAATCTGGAGAACAAAAGCATTGCAACATATTCGGAGGGTGACAGCAGGAGGGTTCTTTGTCACAAAGTACTTCTCCACGTTAAAAGAATACCAAAGGCAAAGGTAAATGGCCACGAGCTTGCAACTGTGTCAGGTTGCTGTGTGTTCAGCAGACATAAAAGGGGTGCTTGAAGTGAGCATGTTAAGGAAACACGATTCTGTCAGGAATTAGGATGGAGCGGGTGAGTGGGGGGGCTGAGGGCTTGTTACTTCTCATTTCACCATTGTGAAATCTTGTGAAAGTGAAGACAATTGACCTCACACTTCAGCGCTGATAAAGGAAAGCGGTATTGAAGCAACAGAGCAATGCAAGCCCTCAGCTATGATTCCAGCCCAGGAGTCTTTCATCGGCATTAAAGCGATTTTTGTTCCTGGTGGGACTGGGATGTGATTAAAGAAAAGAGAAAAAAAAGAAAGGTGGAAAAAATAAACTGATGCTTCCACTGTGATCTGTGGGACTTTCTTTTCTATTTTGGAGCCAGGAAGAGAAGACAAAAAGACAAAGCAGAGGGTTGCAGAAGACAAAGAGGAAGCAGTGATGGTATTTGCCGACATTCCCTGCCCATTTATTCCTAATGGATTTGGCAAATCCAGCCCGACATCGGCCAACTTTGACTGTCTTAGCATTTGCTACACTGTTGGCTGAAGTGGCCATTCTCATTCAGCGACAAAGCTCGAGAGGACAGCTTAAAACAAATCCTGTTTTGGTCATGCTAGGGGTTTACATGAAGGGCAAAGCCGATACAGTTGGTTTCGCTGGTCAAGTATGGTGACAATTGGATTGGCATTAAAGCAGCTTTTTGTACAAATGACCGTGCGAGACAGATCAATTGACTTTCAGCCAACAGCATGAGACGATGCTGTGAACTACTCTGCTGGACACGGAGGGATTTTTAGGCTATTATTATTATTATTATCTATAAATGTGGAAATGTGAAGCCCAGAGTAATCTGACGGAGAAGCAGGCTTGATTTTAATTAGATAAGCGTCTGAATTAAGTCAAGTTCTGTGTACTCACGTGGAGTCTAATTATATCTGTCAGTTTAAAGTTAACAGGCTCCTAGGTTAAGGTAGTATATGGTATACAGCATATGGTCTAAGATTTTTCATTTATTTCACTCTTTTACTTTTCTAAAGATTTCACTGAGCGATTAAGAAACATGAACAGTGTGCTGCAGGCATGCACTCACTTACTGAATCACTGAGATTACGTTTAAAGTCAGCAGTTCTAACACACGGTGAGGTTGAGCCTTTAGTCTAAACACAAAACACAAACATACACAGAGAATACAGAATGTGTAGTTCACGGTATGTTGCTTTAAACTGTCTTTTTTGTACAATATTAGGATGATGACTGAAAATAAGAAGAAATATAACAAGGACCTTTAATCACATGAGGTTCATTAGAATATTAAACACAGACATATTAAACAAAATCAGGTAAATCTAATTTTAATACCACAAAAATATTTGACTTTTTAATCAATTATTGAAGATGTCATTCTCCTTCTCTACCTTAGCTATCATAAATGTTAGGGACTTTGGCCATAACCACTTGCATGTGTGCTCTGGGATATTACCACAGACCTCAAATATCAACGTGTGTCAAACGGACCAGACCTCTGTATTGAAAATCATATGAGAGCTGGGTTTAAGACTGTGACCCAGACACCAAACCAGAGTTTTCACTTGAAGAGTTAACAATTTCCACGGCTGTCACAGTCAGAGCCTTTTCCTTTTCTCTATCACTCATATCGTTGCCCCATGAATTCAGCCGCCACGTTGAGGTTGACGTACTGTGGCATCTGAGGGAAGATATTAAGTGGAAAGAAACCTAACTGTGGTGCATGCCAATGTAAGACAGCTCACAATGCTTTGTTTACCCATTCTACTTGCTAGATTCACAGACTCCCTGTGACTCCACTCCACAAACTGAAATTCAAGTTGAAGGTTGCACTGGAGGAGATCCAGCGCACGTTACCAAGGCACAAGTGCAAGACGACAGAACAGAACTTACAGTGATCTCCAAAGAACAGCTACACTGAAGGCAGTCCAGAGACACTCGGCGAGTGAGCTGCCAAATTTAAATCAGGTGAGGTTTTAAGGGTGGATCACACAGTGCGTTCCAGGCGACTGAGTGACTGCTGAATGTTCTGCACCAACTAAAATGCTGTCGTGCTTACACAGCCAGTTAAATGGCTGTGTAACTTAACTTTTCTAGAAATCATTGAAAATTAGCACTCTTCCTTTAAGGATGTTCATTGATTTCAGCCTGGCCTCAAGTCTTAGATCAACTGCCGTCGGTCCTTACTGCTCACTAAAAATATAAAAAAAAAATAGAAATAAATCAAAGAAGGGATTATGGAGGACAGGCAGTCAAACATATGGGTGCTTTGAGAATACTGGAGGGCATGATGACTTAACAAATGCATACATAAATCTGTCCATCTGACCCGCCATAATTTATAAATAATAATGAACAAATGAACAGCTGTGACTTACAAAAAAAATGCCAGTTTTACATAAAAAGGTTTTTACAGAAAAGCCACAACTCACTGCAGAGGTGCGATCCACAGCTTCAAGTTCCTTCTAATCAAAGAGCAGAATTTGTGGCAGAGCTCATCAGATAACACCGTGCACATTGTGCAAATACAGATGGCCATATTCCCACTCGCTGTGCTGTATGCACGTTCTTGTGGATAATTAGACATTAAGGCGAACAAAGCAGCGCTGCTACGATAGGATACATCCCTCAGGAGCGACTCCTCGTCAATGCCCTGTGCACTGGGCTGTTTCTATAGCTTGAAACCTTTGATCAAGGAACAAAGACGCAGCTGATAGCTGATGACTTTGACCCGGGCTGAAGTTTTAGCTTATTTTGTGATGTCATCTTAATCTGGTCAAGGGTGTAAATTGTGAGAAATAGATCAAAAACCAAGACAGTGTTTAAATAATTCATGAAGATGAAAAAACAATGTGTTTGACAGCAGGGCATGAAAGGAGAGGGGTTAGCGCGGTGAAGGTACTTAGATTTTCAATCGATAATTCACAGATGGTAAACAAAGAAGAGTCTGCTGCGGTAGTCTTAATTCACAAAGCAGTATTGCATAAAGTAATATAGCATACAAATGATGTATGGGAACACATATACATGCTCAATAGTAATAACAAGAGTGTTTACTAAAATATGACCCATTTAATGTAGGATATAGACCATAGAAAAATAAGTGCAAGGTCTACAGAAACATATTCAACAACCTCTGAGTTTGCTCCCGGGTGCTCGGCCTGCAACAAACCAAGATTTTACTAAAGTTTCCTTCAATTTAAAGTAAAAAAAAAAAATCAAAAAACCAAACCCTTAAAGTAGCTTTAATAATATTCTAACAGATGACTGGATCACAAACTTTGTTCTAGTTTTGCAAATCTACCAGAATGAAAACTGCTGCTGGTAAAAAAGTAACATCCAATTTTTTGGAGCAGTACTGAAAACAGTGCAAGGTTTTGATGCAACCTATTGTTTTCGAACATATGTTTACGGTTTTCAAAGTATTTAATCAATTGTTGGGAGAAAAAATATGCCCAAAAGTTCTCCCATTGAAATGGATGGGAGGGCTAGAATGTGCCAACTGAATGACAGCTTGGAAGAAGCTGCAAAATTCTTAAAATGTGCTTTAACCATCAATTTATCCCCAAATTGAGGTGAACTCAGTTTTCTTTTAAATGATATCTTCTTTATACCCAATACAGTATTTTTATCTGTAGGCATCTAAGAGGATTGCCATCTACTTGCCCACTAAAGGTCAATCATAATTTTTCATCTTTTGTCTCACTCCTCTGAGCACATTTTTAACACTAATCAAAAAATCAAGCACAACTTCGTCCAAGGAGATTGCTATCCTATTTTTACCCTAGTGTGACTGAACCAAAGCACGAGGGCACAGGTGTGTGTTGGCTTTTAAAATTAAAGCCCTTGGATTATTACTGGAAATGCAGTATGCTTTAAAATCTGCTAAGTTTTCAATATAAAAGCACTCACTGGCCAACAAGCACTTTGCTACTGGGATTTTTTCATGTTTACTTCAACAAATTTCACTTGCTGACTCCAAATCTGAAAAATGCTTTGATCTCAAACATCACATTTTTTAAGTTATAGTATTCCAAATGTTGGACAAATAAGATGAACGGACAGAAACAGCGATGCATTTCAGCATTTAAGAACAAACTCTGATCTCCCGAAAAGTGAAGCCAAAATTAAGGAAGGTGTTTTTGTTGGTCCTGAAATCCCTGAACTTATAATTGACAATAACTTCCAAAGGACACTGACGCTAACTGAAGCAGCACATTGGGAATCATTCACACAGGTTATCCAGAGTTTTCTTGGAAATCAAAGAGCAGAAAATTATGCTGAGGTTGTGGAAACATGCTGAAAGTACACCAGCTAAAAAAAATGTCACTGAAGATGCACTTTTCACATTCTCATCTCAACTTTTTTCACCACAAAATCTGGGAGATGTCAGCGATGAAAACAGGGAAAGATTTTATCAAGATATAAAAAGTGACGGAAAATTGGTATCAAGGAAAATTGAATCTAAGCATCACGTGTCACCACTGTTGTTTCTTGGATGTGCAGTACAAGTGCAAAAGCAAGTGCCTCAAACACTTTTGAGCTGGTCTTGTTTTATTTGAGCTGCCAGAAATATGCTTAGACACAGATCTCATATAATATCAGTGTAATAAATAAATAAACTGGTATAAAGTTCCTAGTAGCAAACAAAAAATGTGTTATGTAGTATTTATAGCCTGAGTTTCAAAAGTCTTATGGTAATTATAGGCATAAAAACATCCAATTACTTACTGGCAAATGCTTTGACCCTTCAGCTTTTTTTTGCCAATCTTTTAAGCTACAAGCAACAATCAGCAAAATCCAACAGCCAGCAACACTAAAGACTCTAGAGGCGTCTAACGGGAACCATCAGTTTCTTAATGGAGGAAGGAAAAAAAAAAACCTTAAACCCTAACCTGCACCACACAATGCAACAGAACAGGCAGGAGCAACAACCCCACTTCATAAAAATCCCATCGTTTAGCTAAATCTTAAATTACATTCAAGCTCCACCCCTCTCCAGGGCCCACTTGGCTGCAAAGCACTTTTGAAAAATATAAAAAACTAATTACAGCAGCACAAGACCAAACAAGGACATACTTAGAAAAAGCACGCATTAATAAAGCTGATAAACATTTGACAGATGTATGAAAATTAAATTCAAAGCGAGGTAGTGAGGGGAGAAAAAGAGTAGTACTGCTGATACACTTGTTACTAAAATGTTGCCATGTTTAGAGGATCTGTTTGGCAGCTCTGAGTTAGTAAATTTCAAGGTTGTGATTAGACTGAATGCCGCAAACAGGAGGGGTCACCCATCCAATACTGGAGCGTTGTAAACTTGTGGGATAATTTACCTGCAAGTGGGCTTGAGGAGACCATGTGAGTCGAAATGAAATGGGTCAATATCAATTTAATGTTTGAAAATGGATCAATTGATCCAGACCTTCGGTATTATAACCCAACATTTTAATGCTCCAGTGACTTCAATGCCATCTTCAGCCTGAGAATGAAATCGGGGGAAAGAATCGATGCATGTTTGCTTCAGCAATAAATATTATTTTCTGCAGCTCTCTGCCAGCTTGGAAGACTTCATGATTGATCCTGAGGTTTTTAAATTGCTACAACAGGCTAACCATATGTATGTGCCCCCTATTACTTCTGGCGTGTATACAGACCTGCACAGTCCTTTCAGACAGAGTTTATGTTAAATTCTACAGATCTGACACTAGAGGCTTCTATTAACACCCTGACATTTCACGAAGCCCGGCCCAACAGGATGTGCGAACGTCAGCTCGCTGTGAATATCAGAACATGTGCCAGACATCTGACATAACATCAGCCAGGACTTGAATGCTGGTAAAAGAAAAGGCCATTTCCTGTCACGTGACTACAGAAATTCACAAAACCATTCACTAACAGTGAATAAAACCTACACAAAAGGGAAGGGGAATTAAATGCAAGCGCCATTATCTAAAGACAAAAGCCTTCTCTTGTGTAAAGGATAATATTGCATAGAGCGTAAAGGCTGATGCTTGACTGACTTAGCCTGAGAATAAAAGTAGCTGCAGTGTTTTTATACCAGACCTATAAAAATACCAATGAGAGAATGTGATGGATGACTACTCAACCAGATGTAACTACGGTGGAATACAATTTGTTGTGAGATTTAAGGGATCAATAATTTCAACACGAGCTTGAAAGGTTTCAAGTTTGAGAGCTAAAATGTTGCATAAAGCACTCTGCGGACCACTGCCGTGTCCTTCAGTTGCACACACACAGGGTCATTCACCCCAAGAACAAGAGCAGGTTTTGTACCCATCTAAATATACCAGACATAAGGATTATCACACACAGAAAACAAACAAAGAAGAACATCTAAAAACTAAAGACTCATCTGCAGTGGCATTGACGTTTGAGCTGCACAAGTGAAGAGAAGCTCACTCAGCAAAATAGGTCATAACTGGGCAGAAAATTAAAAAGATAATAGAAAATTTTCAATGACTGGCTCTTTGCTGACTCTGTCCAAATGAAGCAGGCTCCGTGAGGAAAAATGTTGCCCATCCCAGGGTTGGAGCATGCACGAGATTGCAGATTCCTTCTTAAGATGAGCAATAGAATGACTTGCATATCATTTAAGCCATTTAAATCTTGGACGAGTGCTATTACTATCTCTGTGATGCAGAAAATTACTGGAAATAAAAAGGGAACTACACTACTATTCAAAAAACAAATATAATTTAAAATTTTAAAACCAAACGCTTACAGTGTTGTCAGAAAGTCCTTTGTAAACACATTTTACTTGCTAATTGTATTTTAGTGATGAAAAAGAGGCTTATGTGCTCCCTTAGTTTCTAAGACTTTTAAACAATAACTGACCAGTAAATGGACTGGTTTATATATAGTGCCTTTCTACTCAAGTTGTCCCCTTCCCACTACAAATCTTATTTACCCTTAAACATTTATTCATACAGTGCTATGGCGAGGTGCACTGTTCCATCATTCACACTCAGGCATCAGGTGCAAGTTGGGGGTCAATATCTTGCCTGAGAATATTCCGATCGGTGAGTGGTAGTCAACCCCTTCTAACATCTGAGCCACGGGCACCTCTGGTAACGCTAGTAGCTGGGCTAAACACACTCTGGCCTGATGACCACCATCCATGTTCAGTGCAATTACCGCTTAAACAAAACATTTTCGGGATCACAGCTTACACACATTTACTTTGTAGCACACTGCCAAATCATAAGAAGTCCCTGATGAGATAAAGAAGGGACATAAAAGACAATCATCTGGAAAGGGTTACAAAGCTATTTAGGAGGCTCTCAAACTCCACAGCTCAACGACCCACAGCAACAAAGATTACTGGAACAAGAGCGAACAGCAGGAATTGCCAAACCTCTTAAAACTTCCCAAGAGCAAGTCTCAACAGATGCAAGAAATGACAAGTCTCTGTCACCTCAACACATGTCTATTTTTGACTCCACTAACCAAAACACACTGGGCAAAAATGATGCTCTTGCGCTTGCAGAAATATTGTGATGGCGCATCACAACCAAAAGCAATAATTGGATTTCACAAGTTCTTCTATAATATGTTTCAAACCTATTTCAATGTGAGAATTAAGGAGTTGCAAATAGATATATCCTTTAATCACAGTTACAAGTAATATTCTGAGTACCACAGTCTTTCTGTTTCAGTCTGCTGATGGTAACAGGGGTGCACAATGAGATTTAGGTGCAAGTTTGCGAACCTTTTGTCACAATGCAAATGTGTCCACACATTCATACTGGATACACTATTTTTCTGGCATGCTTTCTCACATAAGAAGCTGTGTTTACGCAGGTTTAACCTTGAGTTTTTAAAAAAAATACGTGACACAGTTTAGTTTAGGGGGAAAAAAGAAGTAAATATGAGGTTGAATACTTTGTTATGCTACTGCCGTGTGCAGTTATATTACAGCCACTGTACCTTCTTAGTTAAACCTTTAAGTGTCTAATTAATGGTCATCTAAGGTTTTGGTACCTTCTTTGATCTTGTCTCTTAAAAATATGAAAACACAAATCAGCCATGATCTTCCCTGACTTCTTTACCAAACCGAAAGTTTGAATCTGGAAAACAAGGAGAAAGCTGAATTCTCTCTGTGACATTTTACCTACACTGACTAACAGAGGCTTGTGCAGAGAAGGGGGATGATAGAGCTACAGCATGACAGGAGGGCTGAGCATCTACCAGTGTGATGCCAAACTAGCAGCGCCATCTCCATGTAATGCTCGAGGGACAGCTTTACTTAAGAGGAACAGGCCTATGTAATCAGACCCCCAGCCTGTGATTAATGCTGCTGTCTGTCTTCAGGCCTGTGCAGGTCAGTACAGCTCGGCACAGCTCACCCAAGACGCTGTTTACCGCACGCCATGTTGCCCGCAGCCATGGAAATAAGCTGAATCTTTTCCACGTAGAGAGCCAGGAGATATGGAAAAAAGCTAGCATCCAACAAAATGTGAAAAACAGCCACAATAACAAACAGCATAAACCCTGACTGTACGTAATGCCTAAGCTTTGTGCCGTATGTCTTTAATCAGTGGCCAGGAGGGTGTTTTGTTCCATTTCTGCAGTTCACCTTCTTTTTTTGGAAAGCAAAGGGAGTCTTACGGGCAGAACAACTTTAGCTTACCTTCCCCTCAAGTTATGCACGGCTGAGCAAAGGATGGATATATGAGGCATGCAAAGCATTTTCTAGTGCTAACATCATCAGAAGTACCACCCTACCTGTCGGTACACTGTATTAATGAGCTATTAGGTGTTTGTGGATAAACAATTTACAGTGTTGGCTTATTTACTGAATGCTCAGGGAAAAGTGCATCTGGGTGGGGAGCCTCTACTCACTGGGAGTCCATCCATCTGCTGCCACCACCACGCTATTCATTCTAGCACTCGGACAGATTTACACAAACCTTTTGTCGTTAGTCTGACATGTCTATTTATAATGTGAAACACTTTTAAAACAAGAGACCTGTGCAGGGTGTTGCCCCCCTCCTTTCTGTGTATAATTTACAAAGTCTTTAAGTGGATTTTAAATTAGCTCAAGCTTTTGAACATTCTTAAGCTATGTTCCTGGAAGATTAATTTCAGGCAGTCTGAATCGATGCCTCTCTTGTGGTTTTATACCTAAAGTCGATGTGGGAATACAATAGTATGTGGTCTAGCACTGGGTACCTAACAGGATGCTTGGCAAAAGAGGTGACAGGTGACTTACAGATAGCGCTGAGAATCACGTCACTACTGTGTGTTTTGATAATGATGAAGTGATGAGAACAGGTTGAAAAGAAAACCAGCTTTTATTTCAAGTTTAAGCACAAGTGCTTGAAGTCTTCGCCTTTGTGGTAGCTTCACCTACACCAAATGGTTCCAGGACCACATTTTTCAATAATACAAAAACACGCACAGACATATGTGTGCGCTTACACTTCCACAAACATACAGGTGCACGCACACACGTGCTATCTGCTTCAGTCGAGTTCTCTACCTCTTGATCACGGTACATGTGACGTACCTGCCAAATTGGAATTATCATGAGCTAAAATATCTCTTACCAAAGTCTCTATGTGATGACATCCAGCCAATTGACTTGAGGGAGACAATAGCCAGCAATCCGGAGCCCACAAAGGATCCAATCCCAGAAAAGAAAAAGAAAAGCCCCATGATGGCACTCTGCATGGACTTGGGGGCTGCAGAATAGGCAAACTCCAGGCCTGCAATAAAGATCAAAACACATATGTAGAAATATATATGATTAAATGTTAATGTAACGCAGCTTTATAGTTTATATGGTACAACATGTAATGAAATATGACAAACGCTGCCACTGATGATGTAATGTAACTTGGAATTCAGTGCTAATTAGACACAGGATTTAACCTAAACACGTTCTGAATAAATCCAAGTCTGAGATACTGGAGCAACAAGGTAACATAATTTACTTGGATACAAGCGGTGTGATAAATAATAATATGTGGAAATCTAAGTCTTTCCCGACTAAGATTAATGCTTCTTCACTTTCAATGTCATCTTCCGATGCATCTCTGGACCACTTTAAATTACATTTGGGGAAATGGGCAAACTTGCACGGAAGCAAATATGGCAAGCAGGATTGGTAGAGAAAACAATATTGTGTTGGTATGTCTAACAAAAAACTGTTCTTTTTAAAAAATAGTCCCCAGATTTCAGATCATTTCAATTGAATGTCCTTCCTCAGAGACCCCAGAATATTGCACAGTTTGTGCAAAACCCAGAGACAGCCTCTTGGTTTTAGACATACGGTTTTCTGGATTGTAAACTGTGGTAACGCCACTGATATAACAGCTTATCTGACTCATGATCTATTACAATTTACATGTTATTGCCCATAAAAGTAACCAGTACCCACTAGGTGATCAATGCGTTTAGGTTTAATCAAAGATCAATACTGTAGGAAGAGTAGTGATTTTTGTTACTTCTAGTGGACAGACAGACAACTAAAAACATCAGGCATGCTGGTGTACATTTTATGGACAGAGTAACATTTCAATCCCAACTCTTCGCGTATTTATCCATCTGTGTAAAATAATTTTGTTTTTGTTTTTTGGGTGGGTTTTGTTGACTGTTCACTTGTTAATTGCAAAAGAATTCCTTGGCAGCTCATTTCCTATTGTGGCACTGGACTGTGGTGTTTGTAAGTACTAAATAATTTGTGGAAGACAAATTATTCAGTATTTACTGTGTGATGGAAAAAAACAGACTGGAGGGGGGAAAAAAAAGAGCAAGAAACTTTCGAGAAAGAGAGAGTATGGGGAGAAATCTGTGTGTCCTCTGCCTAAAACATTCTGTCTTGCTGCAAGCTGACATTGATAATTTCATGGCACCTCAAACATAGGAGCCCCTATAGCTACATCTGTCAGAAGAGATTAGGGACTTGTGCTTATGTGTGCCTTTTAACATCCTTGGAGGGTAACATTGTGCAAATTAACGTGATGAACAGTTTCTTGACAGATACCTGCGATAGTTCTGAGAA